TCTGAGCCAGTCCTGGTAGACCAGCTACTCCCAAAGACCCTTTCCCTGGGGGAATGGATGAAAGGCAATATTGCTTTGGCACATTCTCATTCCTAATGTAACCAATTATAACAGGCTTCACTGTGGGTAAAAACGATTTCTAAAAATCCTCTACCTGTTCCAGAAAGGGGCCCATCCATAGACAGGTCATTAGATAAGAAGTAACCAAGGAAAGCAGCAGTTTTATCTCTGTAGCTATGAGAGGAGTTAGCTCTCACCATGTCAAAACTGCAAGCCGACTGTGTAAAGCATGAGAACAAAGACAGCACAGACTAAGTAATGGCAAGGAGACCCCACCAGAGTCCAAGGCGAGCAACACCTGCAAGGTCCACCGCAGCAACAGCTGTCGGGAGACCTGCCAACGGTCACAGTCAACAGTGAACAAACAGCCAAAGATGAACCGGGGCTTCAGCACCTGAGCACTCCCCAAGACGGCATCAGGTGAGCAGCCTGGGGACATGCACAGAGTGTGTGCCTCCATTGGCTCAACTTGTGCTATGCACCGCCGAGAATGAGCCAATCATAACAGAAATGTCTTCCATCTTCCTTTAGTCTCTGCCATCCTATAAAAAGCCCCCAGAGAAACAGTTCAATGGGTTTCTCCCTCTCTTGGATCCTCTCCCGAGTTCTGCTTTCTGCAGCAGATCTTTACTCTTCTTCTTTAAACTGTATCTCTATAATAAAAAAGCTCCCTTCTTTGCACACCCTCCTTGTCTGTGAATTTCTTTCCTGAGTTTATGAGCTGCTGACTCAAGTGAAGTCTGTGTTACCCTTGGTGTCTGGGGCTCTCACCTAATGAGAACCCTACTCTCAAGGACACTCTCTTTCCCATTCTACTATTATAAGTGCTACCTGGTAGTGAGGGCTCCATTAACAAATTTTCTAAAGAGCAGAGTGCCACAGGTTTGAGAATTCAAGAGCGCACGAGTGTACACAACACACACACACACACACACACACACACACACACACAGACACGAGAGAAAGAGAGAGAGAGAAAAGACAAGAAGGGAGGGGAGAGAGGAGGAGAAAGAGAGATTTCACTGGATTATAGAAAACTTGATAGAATCAAAGGAAATAAAGGACAGGACATGGAAACCCCCATACAGGAGACAAAACCCTACTAAATGTTAGTTATTAGTGAAAATGACTAATTCTGATAGTTAACATTGCTTGTCAACTTAACTGGCTCTGGAATCAACTAAAAGGCAAGCTTGCTGGGGAGATCTGTGAGGGGTTTCCTCAATCAGGTTTCTAAGATGAGAAGACCTCTCAGATTAAGGTGGTCTGGTGGCCAGAAGGCTTTGCTTTTTGCCCACTGGCCTTGCTCTTGCTGCCAAGGTCATTTACCTCACTACTGCCACCATGACTGTCTTGTTCTGTTGCTCATAACAGAATGCAACTTCTTCAGGCTTCCAACATGGACTGAATAATCCATCCAACGGTGAAACAGGGAACCCTCTAAGCCTTCAGTCCCAGGCTGGGACTGCTGAGGGACCCAGCCTCACAGACTGCCCTGTTCCAAGTTTCTCAGACTCCCCAGTGTGAAGACTGCCAACAGTGGATTGACTACTCAGAGAGCAGTATAAGGCAAGACAGTGGATCCCCCTTCAATATTTATATTCATTGTGCCAGTTCTGGTCCCCCAAAGAAGTCTTACTAATATACCCCTACTATAATAATGTCTTGCCTTTCATCTCTAATTCTTTTAAGTTTTTAAATATAACCTGAGAAGTTGGAAGCCACAGAGCTAGAAGAACCCGAGATCTGTCTCAATCGGCACCTCATGTCAGGAAGAACTCCACGATCACATCCATCTCAGCACACTAGATTCAAAATCAAGTCATATATCAATAGTGCTTCCTACACTGGAGTCATTATCAAAGGGTCAAAAACGCTGGTAGATAATACCACGTGGACAAGATCAGAGGAATATCCAACTGTCCTATTTTAAAGCCCTGAGACCATACTCAGCCATCTGTCTTGGTACTCATTCCAAGTTGGAGGAAGAAACTTCGCCGTTCTTTTCAATTTAAACTCTTCAAGAGGAGCCTCAAAAGCATTTCAACACATTCCATTTTCAAACAGCCTGGAGTACAGCTATTTATCATCTGCGTTATGGGACAGTGTGCTGTGGTGTTGAGGTGAACAGTGAGTGAATTAATGTGTGCAAACACAGCTCGGTCTGGCACATAAGAACACTTGTATACTGTCACTGGGTGCTGCAGGACAAGGTCAGTCACAAGGAATACAAGCACAATTCGGAATAGTTCACACAAAACAAAGAGGGGCCAGTAAGGAACACAGTTAAAGGAGAAAGCATTTGGTGGCTTTCAGGTGTGGCTGAATCCAGGGCTCAATTTGTCAGGCTCCTCTTCGTTTCTCCCTCTGCTTTCAGACACCTGGACACTGAGACAACCATCATCTAGAAGGGGCTCCCTATTTGTCATCCAAATTTTACTGAATGCCAACCAAGTGTCAGCAGTGACCATGACAGAGGAAACGATGACTGACCTTCATAGAATTTTCCTTATGGTGGAGAAGGGGGTGCTATGGCTTGAATATGACTTGCTTGAATCCCTCCCAAAATAATTCATGCAATAGAAGCTTGACCATGTGTGGCAGAGTTAGAGTGCTGAGACTTACAGGAAGCAGGGCCTAATATGCCAAGTCATTAATGCATGGACGCTCACCCTTGGAAGGGACTGAAGCATGTTTCAAGGGACCACAGGGGCTTAAAATATTATAAAACACAGGTGGCTCCTGTACCTCTCTGGATGCTGTTCCACTCCCTCTCTGATCTTGCCACCATTCTCTCTACCAAGCTGTGAGTACCATGGGGTCCACACTGAGGCAGAACTAGGTTATCAGCCTCTGTAACTGGGCTCAATTACATTTGAGAAAAACAAAACAAAACAGACAAACAAAAAAACCTGTTTGGTGTTTTGTTACAGCAACAGAACATGGGCTGATATGGCGGGGATCCATTAGGAGATAAAGGTTAAACAATGCCTAAAAAATAAAAACGTTATCTTCCACAAAATAAGGCCATACCTGTTGCCTTCCAAGCTAGTAAATCCCCCTTTTCACATGTCTCTTGCCTTTGGCATACATGCAGCACCCAAAGATCAGGTCTCATAGTTTGGCCTATGTGTGTGGGGACAGCTAGCTCGTGCTGTGGAGAGATGACATGATGCCTCTGCGAGTTGCTTCCAGCTATAATATAACCCAGTCTCCATTTCTGAAAAACACCCATTTTAGCCTGCTAAGCACAGGCTAACAGCCTTCCTGGTTTCCTTCCGATAGGATGTTACCAAAATACTACAAAACCCAGTCACTTATTGGTCATAGTCCTTTTTTGATAGCCTGATTCCAGTTCAAGGTTATATTCAACTTTGTGACCATGAAGGCTTCAAACCCAAGTTGTCTGAGAAGTCAGGGGGTGGTGTCTAACAGAAAAGCTTAACCCGTTTGTCTGGGGAAGTGAAGAACGCACTCTTGGGAGCACACTAGGCTAGGTACTTATGGTAAAAGTCAATCTTCAGTGATAGTGAAAATAACATGAATCAAGTTGCTCTCACTTGAAAACACTTGGATAATTCCTGAACCAGTCCACAAACAGGTTAACACACACATTCGCACAGGTCCACCAGATCCATGCCAAAAACTCACTCGAGGAGTTTTCACTAAATTTAAGGTTTTCTGGGGTGGGGGTGGGGGAGTGAGGTAATCATTTTAGTTTTTAAGTAGTCATATGCTCTGCTCCCAATGCCTCCTCTATCATGTCGGTCATTCACTGGATCCCTATCCCGTCTACAGTACTTAGCATGTTTTGTAGGGACAGTAATTTATTTCTTCTAATCCGTATACAGCGGCTCAGTCAAATCCCGACGTTTAAGCCTTAAACAAAAATGGATTTTTAATCGAAAAGCTCACCAGCCTCAAGCTCTACCTCATTTTCACATGGCCTTGTCCAGCTTACGCCTTCCCAGCATGCTAGCTCTGTCTACTGGAGCCTGGTGGCTGCATGGCCTCTAGGGGACAAGTCCTTCTGCGTAGCCAACCCTACCAGATTAATCCTAGTCCGCCAGCAGGACTCTGGATTTTTGTTTGTTTATTTTTTCTAAGGCTAATGCCCTTATCTTTGCACTCCAGCCGGAAGGTCCGTTGAGCCTTCTTTCCTCTGCCCCTTTGCTTCTAGAATTGGGCCCGGTGCCTTCTCCGAGTTAGGAAAGGGCTCGAACTTTCCCAGGGAACCGAGGGGCGTCCCCTCGGCGCCTTAGCATCGCCCCCACCCGCCCCTCCCCGGCAAGCCCCCGTGGCGCCGGAGGGGACGCGTTGCGGCCCTCGCTCCTGTCTGTCCTCCTCCAAACCCGGGCGGGAACCCCAGCAAACACCCGGTGCCCAGCGCCCGCCAGGCCCCTCGCTCGCCCCAGCCCCTAAGCCAGGTCGGGCTGGGGTGCCACCTGCGGGCCACCACGCGCGGGCTCCGGTGCGCGGCTCCCCGGCAGACTGGGCGGCTCCCTACCGGGCTGGGCGGCTCCCCCGCGGGTGCGGGGCGAGGGGCGCGGGGCCTGGGGGTGGCAGAGTCGCAGGCCGCGCTGCGGTCCCACCCGACCGAGAGGCGGCGCGGAGCCCGCACGGGGCCGCCTCTGCGATTGGCTGTGCCCCCCTCCTCCCCCGCTCCGCCCGCCGCGGCGCCCGCCCGAGGAGCGAGGACGCGGGGACCCGCCTCCCGCCCGCTCCCGACCCCGGGCGCGCGGGATAAAAGGCGGGCGGCGGGCGCGGGAGCCCGGGCCCTGCAGCCTGCGAGCGCCTCCGGCGGGCTGGCTTCACCAGCCACCCCCCTCCCTAACCCGGCTCCCGGCGCGGTACCTGCAGCCAAGAGAGAGCCGGGGGACACCGCGCCGCCGCCTCCAAAGTCGCCAAAGTTGAGAGGCTGCCGCCCACCGGGAGGGAGCAGGAGGGAAGGTGCGAGCGAGCGCGCGGGGCCCGAAGCGAGCCGGCGACGCGCAGAGCTGCCGAGCGAGCGCACGGCCGTCGGCGGCCTCTCCCGAACCGCTGCGGCTTCCCAGCGCTGTGAGTGGTCGGTTAGACCGACGGCTGGCTAAGTATTTCCGTTCAATTGTTTACGGGATGCGATTGTGTGTTTTTTGTATCGGTGGAGGGAAAGTTAAGGCAGAATGCGTCCTTTTTAAAAACTGAGTTTCACAGAGTGAGACGGTTGCATTGACAGAGCAGGTACCTGGAAATCTTACTGAGTTGGAGGAACCTGGGGGAGGGGGTGTGCATTTAACAGGTCTTTTCTTTTCTGTTTTGCTCCCTTATTGGAAATGAAAGCCATTTCCAAAGTTAATTGGAACGAAAGTGAATACGGAATAACTTAGGGGTTAACTAGTGGCAGTTAACTTATACTTTCCTCCCTTTTTAAATATTGTTACCAGATTGGTGGGAGGCTGAGCTGGTGAGAAGCCACTGGAAGAGACTCAGAGGCAACCATAATGTCGGTAAGGTTTCACACACTGCCCACCCTGCCTGGAGCTGTCAAACCGGGTTGCAGAGAGCTGCTGTGCTTGTTGGTCATCACAGTGATGGTGAACCCCGGAGCCTCAGGAATGTGCCCCACGGCTTGCATCTGCGCCACTGACATTGTCAGCTGCACTAACAAGAACCTGTCTAAGGTGCCTGGGAACCTTTTCAGACTGATGAGAAGACTGGATCTGAGCCATAACAGAATTGGACTTCTAGATGCTGACTGGATTCCCGTATCATTTGTCAAGCTGAGTACCCTAATTATTCGTCACAACAACATCACCAGCATCTCCACAGGCAGTTTCTCCACAACTCCAAACCTAAAGTGTCTTGACTTATCATCCAACAGGCTGAAGTCAGTGAAAAGTGCCGTGTTCCAAGAACTGAAGGTTCTGGAGGTGCTCCTGCTCTACAATAATCACATTTCCTATCTGGACCCAGCAGCATTCGGAGGTCTCTCCCACTTGCAGAAACTCTACTTGAGTGGGAACCTCCTCACACAGTTTCCTATGGATTTGTATGTTGGGAGGTTCAAGCTGGCCGATCTGACATTTTTAGATGTTTCTTATAATCGAATCCCTTCCATACCAATGCACCATATAAATTTAGTGCCGGGAAAACAGCTGAGGGGCATCTACCTTCATGGAAATCCATTCGTCTGTGATTGCTCCCTGTACTCATTGCTGATCTTTTGGTACCGTAGGCACTTCAGCTCGGTGATGGATTTTAAGAATGACTATACCTGCCGCCTATGGTCTGACTCCAGACACTCCCATCAGCTGTCCCTGCTCCAGGATAGCTTTCTGAACTGTTCTGAGAGTGTCATCAATAGCTCCTTCCATGCTCTTGGCTTTATTCACGAAGCACAGGTCGGGGAAAGGCTGGTTGTTCACTGTGACAGCAAGACTGGTAATGGAAATACTGATTTTGTCTGGGTTGGTCCCGATAACAGACTGCTGGAGCCCGATAAAGACATGGGAAACTTTCATGTGTTTTACAATGGCAGTCTGGTTATAGAGAGCCCTGGCTTCGAGGATGCTGGAGTTTATTCCTGTATTGCAATGAATAGGCAACGTCTGTTAAATGAAACTGTGGATATCATGATAAATGTGAGCAATTTCACCATAAACAGATCCCATGCACATGAGGCATTTAACACGGCTTTTACCACTCTTGCTGCCTGCGTGGCCAGTATAGTCCTGGTACTACTGTATCTGTACCTGACACCGTGCCCATGCAAATGTAAGTCCAAGAGACAGAAAGATGCGCTGAACCAAGCCAGTGCCCATTCTTCCATTCTCAGTCCTGGTCCCTCTGGTGATGCCTGTGCTGATGAACGGAGGGGAGGTAAAAGAGTGGTGTTTTTGGAACCCCTGAAGGATACTGCAGCAGGGCAGAATGGTAAAGTCAAGCTTTTCCCCAGTGAGACCGTGATAGCTGAGGGCATCTTAAAGTCTACGAGGGTGAAATCTGACTCTGATTCAGTCAACTCCGTGTTCTCAGACACACCCTTTGTGGCATCCGCTTAATTGTGTGCCTGTGTCTGTCTGGTGTCATGATTTAATCTCTCCCTAATTTAACTTTGTGTGGTCCACAAAATCCATAGCAGGGCAGAAATTGTTTTTGTCTTTTGAGATAAAACCAAATGGTGTCTTAAGATGGTTGCTAGGAAATGAAGCCAAGCACACTGGTTGCTTGCTGTGCTGGGAAAAGAGGAGGTTGCTTTTGAGAGTTTAAGTTCTGGATAACAGACAGCGTCTTACCCTTCAGCATCCTTGATGATTTCAAAGCTGATCTGAAAACACCGTGACCAGCATTTATCCCTTTATCGGCTCTCAAAGGAAAAATAAATCTATGTATTAGCATTCTTTAAAAATAGACTGTTAACTAGAACCAAAGTTGAGCTTTTCTGTTTTTTAGAAAAACATTAGTGACTTCTTTCATCTTTAAAGATGTAGAAGGAAGAATCGGTTATTTATGAAGCATAAAGTTAGTCAAGAATTATCTTTTCAGACCAGAATGGACAAACTCTGATAACACCCACGGGGTTATGCCACACCTTGTGTCGTGTGGAGTAAGTAGTGGAAAGGTGTAATTGCTGAGCTGTCTCCCTTCTCCATATTCTTTATGCTGTATCCTGGTACAAAAGCTCCCACTGAACAATTAAAGGTGTCATTATTTGTTGCCAAGAATATGTGTCGGATATCAAAATGTCTGAGCAGCCCTCTAAACCTTCGTTCTGACATGCTTTGTCCATCTGCTTGTATATCTGTAAAATCTTAAGTTACATGAACTGCTCAGTGGGCCCAAATGTGCTGGGATTTGAGACATCTAAATCAGTATAAATACATGTGCTCTGTGACTTGATGTTTCAGTTGCCTGTTTGCAAATGCAATCTGAGATGTTTTATGTGACTAGATCATACTGTGTGTGTAGAGCACCGTCACATGGTGCACACATTACAGCAAAGCATCTCTTCAAAATTCATGTTATTACCATAGGGATTTTTTTTTAAGAGGGAGAAAATAGCTTTAATATATTCTAACCAGATTTTTACTCTCTGTATTACAGTTTACTCTGGCATCATGCATTCCAGCCAGGTTTGGAAGACACTTAAATTCTAGTTCTAGGACAAGTGAGTACCTGGGAGACCTGATTATTCCCACATCTGCCAAGAGGTAATCATGTGCCTCTCTGGAACTAAAACGGAGGCTTCAGACCATTTGATGCTTCAACTTCCTTCCATATTAGAATCTGGTTTCCTGGCAGCTCCAGCTTTCAGCCCCAGAGTACACTGGCCTTCTAACCCTGCACCATAGCCGAGGGGAATATAAGGACAGGATTAGGACAGACTAGCAGAGCACGGGTTAGGATGGACCAGCACAGCACTGTAGCTCACAAGGGTTTGAGTAAAGGAGGCTCAGAGAGAATCATGGGTTGTGTATCACCAAGCAATGAGTGAGTGACAGGAACAGAAGAAAACCCAGGCTCAGCATGCTGTCTGGAGAAAATAAGGGGTCCAAAAGAATGGGTTACCTTAAACACCCATGGGCTTGGAGAAGAAATAAAATCAGAGGAGTGATCCAAGGCAGAGGAGAAGCCTGCACACATCTTCCGAGGGAACACTGGGTGTGGTCAACAATAGCTCACTATAGAGACACAGATGAGGATGCAAGGTGACTGGCAGTGGTAACTCAGTGGGGACATGGTTTGTAATAGTAGACTCGTGACAACTCTCTGAGCACTGGCTGGCATTTAGACTGGTCAGCAGGGAGTTAAGGAGGGAGTGGTTAGGAGGCCCCTAGGGAATTGGATGCAGAATGGGGGCTTGGTATTGTGAACACTATTACACAGTGTTAAAAATGACCACTCTCCTTCTCAGATCCTCACTCTGTAGGCAGGATCCTCCAGAGCATGTTACCAGCAAGCATTTTGTTGTGGCTGCAGCTGTTTAAGTATTAGGAGATGTGTGGAGCTGGTATGACCACACGGCCACCTTCTCCCTTCATATTTAGATCAGCTGCTAAGGGCGTGAAGGTGCTGCCTCTGGTGTGATGGGGCTGGCATCACTCTGGCAACAAAATTGAAAGAGGGTCCCTAAGTTGCATTTCTTCTGGATGAGAACTGTAAAAGCTTGTAGCTGCTGATTCTAGGAAATAAAGTGTTGGTCTTGGCAGGAAAATAGGGGCAGTGCTGGGAGTGAGTCAGTGATGGCATTCAGTCATGGCTTCTGATGCCCGGATGTCAGGTTAGGGCTAGGATACACTTAAACAGAAACCAAGATACTTTTACAATAAAATAACAACAACAACAAATCCTGAGTTTTCAAAACTCTTGTTTTCAATCAAACATAGGAAACAAAAAGATGGCCATAAATCCTGGAACTGAATGTTGTGGTGTGGAATTCTAAGTGCCTAGGCATATCAATTTTTAAGTACGAGCCTGATCTCATGTATTTTAAATATAGAAACAAAAATGATGTGTGTTTTATAAATTTGCCTCACTCAAAACTTGTTATGATTTTTCTTCTGAGCAATTATCTGGACTTCTGAAACTGGGTGACTTTTTAACCCAGTGCCGGGGAACACATAGTGGGGAGAGATGGAGGCTCATTGGGAAATCAAGTACCAGCCTCAGGTGTGACATTTTCTTTCTCAAAGACTTATTATTTCTGTGTGTGTGTGTGTGTGTGTGTGTGTGTGTGTGTGTGTGTGTGTACAGGAACCTGTGCAGCCCAGAGGTGCCTGATCCCCTGGAATTGGAGCTACAGGAGTTTTAAGCTGCCAGATTTGTACTGGAAACTGAGCTCTAGTCCTCTGTAAAAGCTTTTAACCACTGAGCCATCTCTTGTCCTAATGAATTTCCTTGGGTTTAGAGTATTTTCACTGAATTGGAGGTTCTAGGTTCACTCTTTTTTTTTTTTTTTTTTTTTTTTTTAAGATGTGTATAAAGTAATTGTAATTTTGAGTTAAGAATTTTAGAGGTACTGGAATGAGGATTCAGTGGATAAAAGCCAAGTCTGATGACCTGAGTTGGGAGTCTCCAGAACCCAGCTCAAACACTGTACCCAGTAGCCAAACATCAGTAACCCCAGAATACCTTCAGAAAGATGAGGGAGAGACAGGAGGACCTCCAGAAGTTGGAGGGCAGTGAGCCTGGCTCACACAGAGGTGAAGAGACTCTCACACAAGGGCAGAGCAGATGAAGGCCGGCGTGGGAAGGTTGTCCTCTGACTTCTGCTCACCCACTGTGGCATCTGTGTACCTGTCTGCTCACAAGTACACACACATACAAAGTACACTCACATGGACACACAAAGACAAGTATACATACACGCAGGCACATACACAAACAAGTATATAACACACAAGTGCACATGAGCACACACACAAGCACATACAAACACAGGACACACTAGTACACAAGAACACACACAAACAAGTAAACATACACACAAGCACACAAACAAGCACATACACATATATAAGCACACATAGAACACACACAAAATATTTTAACAGCACTTTCAAGACTAACACTGTGAAATGATGCCATAAAAGACTTTAGAATGTAGGCTCGGCCTCTGCATTACTCCTCACTGCCCCAAACACAGTTCAATTTTTAATTTTTAGTTTTGCTTAAGCATATAAGAATGAATTTTACTTTTCCAAATAAACTTTGCCCCTCCCCTCAGTAAAACATTAGTTAGGAAAAGGGATAAATGAAAAATGTATGAAGGTGGCACATAACAGGAACAGGCAGACACTCTCAGTCAAGACCTAAGAAGATGTGTGGTCAGGAAGCCTACTATGTAATGTTGAACCAGGAGCCAGCCTGCATCCTAAACACACCATCGTTCTCTTTGCCACAGCCGCTGCCAATTCCTGCTGCCTTCTGGTGTCGTTGACTTGCCTAGAGACCAAGCAGTAAGTCCAAAGCCAGGCTTTGCTACACAATCTTAGGGGGAAGTAAGATAAACATGGGCTTCCCACTCTTCTAACCAAAGAGTCTAATTCAGGAAGTTTAGGGTGGAGCCTGCCAATCATATTTAAAGTTTTTTCTTATCATATGATTCTTATTCTACCTGATTTGTTCAAACATATGCTAAGTGGGACCATAGCAGAATTCATGTATTGAGGTCCTGACAAAATGCAGTATTACTTGTTAATGGATTTACTAATAAAAGGAAAAAATCTTAGTCCCCTAAAAATAGATTGTTCTTGTTTTGTTTTTTTTGTTTTTTTCCCCCAAGATTTTGGTATGCTGACTCTAAATGGACCCCTAAGAAAGCACTGGCTGGAACTTAACAGCTTATGCTTTTCTAAATGATGAAATATAAAATTACTTTGACACGACAACATTCCCAATTCTTTCATTTTTTAAAGCTATTTTTAGTCTGAAAGCAGCTACAACAGATCGGGTTTGTAACAATGAGCACTGAAGCTTTCAAATTTGATTAGCTCATAGCACTGTTAGCTTATATCCCAAGGATTTTGAGTGCTGGTTCCATTTACAGAGAACCAAAATGTCATTGTTTTTCCACATACTAGACTACTCTTTTTTAAAACCCACGAGATCTTTTCCTGGTTCCCTCCTTCCTCCCCTTCCCAAGGGCAGCTCCCGGCCCGAGTTCCTCATTTCTCATTGTGGTAGTCTGTGTGAAGAGTTAGTTACTGGTTTGCTGTGTGAGTTATTTGGTTGCTTTTTATCACAATAATCATGAAAACTTTTTAAGTACTCACATGGGTGTTTTCCTGGCGTGTCCTTGTGAGGCATGGGTTACAGCTAAGCTTTCTCCGGGTCCTAATCTATTGCTGTGATAACCAAGGTGACCAAAAACAACCTGGGAAAGGAAGAGTTTATTTACACATTCTGTACAGTCTGTCACTGATGGCAGTCAGGGCAGAACTCTGAGGAGTGCTTCTTACTGGCTTGCTCTCCCTGGCTTGCTCAGCCTGCTTTTTTAGATATCCCAAGGAGTGACACTGCCCACAGTGGCCTGGGCCCTCCTACATCAATCATCAATCAAGGAAATGCCTTACAGACATGCCCACAGGCCAGTCTGATGGAAGCAATTCATCCTTCAAGATTCCCTCTTCTCAGGGATGTCAAGTTGATTAAAAAACAAAACAAAAAAACAAACAAAAACCCAGTATACCTCTTGAATAATTTAGAATATTACCTAGGGGCCAATGAGACTTGCAGATGGATCACAGGAAAGGCAAACCTTTTATAATAAGGACAAGGGTAAACAAAATGGTTAAATAGACATTGTAAGATGCAAAAAGTAGCATTTATACTGGACTCATTATTGAGCACCTACTGAGTACCAGGCACACAATGAGTAGTATTGATTTGCTGTCCTTCCCCTTCACAGCAAACTTGAAAGATGGGAAAGCTGGTAAATGGGCAAAGCAGCTCAAAATTGAAAAAGGAATTCTCTCGGGTGACCCAGTTATTAACTTGTTTTAAACCACACACACACACACACACACACACACACACACACACACACACACATCTACCTCTCCATAGTCTCACATAGACGGTTTACTGGTAAAATTCCTGTGTAAGGCATGAGTCATTAGTAAACTTTAAAGTAAAGAACGTGAGGAAGAGGAAGGCATTTCAGGCAGAAGAGTGTTTGCTGCACATGCATGAGTTGTGATACCCAGCACCCGCATAAAAAACTGATCTTGATCCAGGTGTTGGTGATGCACGCCTTTAATCCCAGCACTCAGGAGGCAGAGGCAGGTGGATCTCAGTGATTTAGAGGCCAGCCTGGTCTACAGAGCGGGTTCCAGGGCAGCCAAGACAGAGAAACCCTGTCTTGAATGCCACCTCCCCACAAAAAAGCTTGATGGCAT